TCTCCCTCCCTCCCTCTCAAATCAACAAAAAAAAAATAATCTATAATAATAAAAGCATAATATGCTAATTAGACCGGACAGCCTTCCGGCCTCTAGTAATAGAATAAAATCAATGAAAACATATCCTCAGGTGAGGATTAAAAAAACAAACTTATACCTATCACATCAAACTATGATTTTACAAATATTGCTTAGGGTAAGGATAGTGTGGGCTAGTTAGTTCATGTGAAATATCAAGGTAGACTATCACAGATGGTGTGCAGATATATTATTTTTTTAAAAGGTCATATGGAAATGGCTGGCTGCAGGTTAGGCAAGCCTATTCTTGTCCCCACAATTGGAAATATGTTCTTTAAATAATTTAAATTAGACGAGTGGGAAAATGCAGAGAACCCAGCACCTTTCCAGAATCCTTCCCTTTTAACCTGAAACAAGAAGGTCCCAGAGCTTAGAGATTTCCAGGAAGTTCTTTATAAAAAGACAGCCCAGTCCTTAAGGATTCGCACACAAACAACAGATTGCTTCTACAGAGGACATAGGAAAAGTACTGGAGATGAGGCCCAGTTAGACCTGAGCCAAGGGAAGACAAGCATCCGAAGGGCAGGTCACCTCCCGTGGAACAGGAAAACCATTAACCTGAGCCGTGCTGCTCCGCAGAACAGTCTGAAGGGCGCTGACCTACCCCCCTGACCTCAGCTGTTTGCAGTAGGATGTGGCCGGGGTACCTTCAGGGTTATTAAAAGTAAATGATAGCAGTGTGTACCTTTGGAGCCTGGGAGATAGAGACCAGGTCAGCTGTGAGTCTCTGAGTCTGGATGTCACCAGCGGCTTCTGAGAAACAGCAAAGGACGAGAGTAAACTCAGAAGGCCCGTCTGCCCTTGATCTCCTGTCACTCCCTCAGGGCTGCCACCCGGGGCTCCACTTTTCACCCGACAGTCATCAGTGGCTACTTCCAGCCAACAAGAGCCAGCAGCTGAGAAGGGGGGATCAAAGGGGACCCATAGAGGTGGCTTATTACGGGTCAGGGGCCCCAGATAACAGACAAGTAAAGAGAACTTGGGCGTGGAGGTCTCTGGCCAGGCAGCCTGGCAAGAAGAAGAAATACACCCCAGGAACACCGAGGGGCTGGGATCCCAGACCAGCAAAAGGGTCGTTGGACTCCTGCCAGCTCCTACATGCACCGCTGTCTGTCCCCTCAGCACCCTCAGAAGTTCTTGAACTCCAGCGAGTTGGTGCTTTCACAGCTTCAAGCACAGCCTTGGGGAAGTTTCCACTCCCGGTCTCCTCCTTTGTTCTTGGAAGTCATGGCTGTGCTCACACCTTTTCTGTCATCCCCTCCTGCTTCCGCCTGCAGTGGGCACAGGCAGCTAGACGCTCCCCCTAAATGGCACCCCTGGGTCATGGAACTGTCATTGAGAGCACAAGAAAGCCAGGGACCAGGCTGTCGTGTGCGCTGGAGCGGGGGGACTTTGGAATTGCTTGGTACCTTCCTCCTGAACCAGGAGAACTCTTACTGAACACCAGTGACTTTTATTGACTTGGGGTAATGATAAAAATAGCAAAATAACTAATGCTGCGTGGTGAAGCTTCAACCTGAGACCTGAGCAAAATGTAAATTGTGCCCTAGCTGGTTTGACTCCGTGGATAGAGCATCGACCCACAACTGAAGGTCCCAGGTTCAATTCCGATCCAAGGGCAAGTACCTCAGTTACAGGCTCCATCCCAGGTCCTGGTCCAAGTACATGTGGGAGGCAACAAATGGATGTTGCTCTTTCTCTGCCTCTCCCCCTCCCTTCCATTCTCTCTCTCTTTAAAAAAAAAAAAAATCCTCCTGTGAGGATTAACAAAAAATAACCAAAAATTTAAAAAATATAAATTGCCCTCCATGATGCCAAGACACCCATGATGCCATGTGGGATGGAGAAACTGTTTTTCCCTCTTGTTACTGGGTTTCCTTGCCCCCAAACCCTGAACGTTCTGGGTGTAGAGACTGTGCTCACAGTAGGAGTCACTGTACTGCCTTTCTGTTGGCGTGTGGAGCCCTGGCAATGGCACCCAGAGCTGTCCCACTTTCAGCTCGAATCGGGAGTCCCACGGTGTGAGGAGGTAGCTATGCAGCTTGGTATTTGGCCAGCCTGCCAAGCTGAGCCCTCCTTCCTAGCCAGGACTGTCACAAGAGCCCAGGGCACCACTTGGCTTTGTGATTTGTGTGGAACAAGGCGGCCTCCTGGCACCAAGCAGTACAGCCACAGATTCAGGCCCAACCTGCAGAGAGGAGATGAATCCAGGCCAGAGTTCCCAGGCTGCAGGTGGAGCTCACTCCCCTACCAGGTAGTAAGCCCCCAGTCCGGTCATTTCTTAGGCACAGCCTCTGTGGGATGTACAGGTGGGACGGAACCCCAGTGGGAATGACCTCTCCCCTCGCCTCCCTGCCAAGCCTGTGGTGGGCAGAATAATGACCCACCCCTCCACCCTCCGGATGTCCATGGCTTGGTCTCCAGAACCCATGGATACACTCTGCTACCTGGCCAGGGGGACACAGGACCACTGTGAGACGTGCACGAGGTGAAGGTAGTGAGCCTGTTCTGTAAAGTACTGAATAAAAATAAAACATTCTGATGATTCCTCGGACCTGCAAGTCATCCAGGGCTCCCTGGGCTCGATCCCCTGGCCTCTCTTTTCTTT